CCCATTAAGTGAGGCCCATCAACATAAAATAAAAGATAAAAAAATAAAGGATATCACACAAGCAGCTGTTAGGGCCCATTCGGCCCAGTCTCTTTACACAATATGAGGTCTGGCTTCTGAATTTACATTTAGAAGGTATGAGAAGGGGATTATAATGGTCCAGAGGTGGGTGTGGGGCTACTGTCAGTGGAGAAGATGGTGGGGGTGGAGCCCATGACATTGAAGCAAACTGGCAAGGAAGTTTATAAGGTCATAAAATTGCTCAAATGGGGGTATTTTGTAATCTTAGGTTGCATGAGGCAGGGACCACAGGATTATTGAAAGGGATATTTTCACTTTTTCAGAAACATGAGGTAGATGTAGAATTTGTAGGAGAAAAAAATGAATTGTGGTGTAGGGGCTGGTTTCTGATCTCTGGTACATGGGAATGAGATTTGGATTGGAGTTATTTTAGCTGGCTCATTCAGGTCATATTAGTCCTTTGAAGGACATAAATGAAAAAGAAAGGCACAAGTGCAAAGAAGTCTACAAAATAATACAGTTTACAAAGAATATCAGAGCCCTCAGGGTTTGGTCCATGTTTGTTTCACAATAAGTATCTTTAATTTGGATTGTCCTACATATGAACTCTGTCTCTGGGCTACTTGAGATTTTTTTTTTTTGTCCTGAAATGGAATATTAGTGCATTTTCATTTTAGATTAATGCAGCATTTTCAGAGATGCAAAACCAACCCTTTGACTCTAGGGATCAGATCGTTGGAAAATGACACCCCTTCATCCTTCCTGATCTGTTGGAGCATTGGAAGGAGGAGCTAATAGTATTTTTGTGAATATTGAATAAATATGACTCCTCTGAGTTGTTTTAGGAAAAGGCATAATTCTGTTGTTGGTCATGTTAGAGAAAATATGACTCTCTGTTGTGAATATTGAATAAATATGACTCCTCTGAGTTGTTTTTTTGGAGGTTGAAATGCCATTATTTGTGGTAGTTCTTGAGGACTTTCAGTGTGTATTCCAGGATCACTGAGACAATTTTGAACCCCTTATACAGTGTGGATTTGTGCATGGGTTTATCCTTTACTGTTACTCTTTTTTAAAGATGTTCTTGTAATAAACGAAAGAAAGCACTAAGTAGTTGATACTGATAAAAAAAAGAACTAGGTAGTTGAACTTGTTACTGGAATATTGTTGATACCATATGGTATTTGGGCCAATGAAATAATATATGGAAATAGATTGGTAAGATTTAAAAATGGTTTCCTTTAGCTTTTGTAATGATAAGTTTAGGGTATTGTGTTAACATACTGAAAATTTCAATATTGCTTTATCCTGTTGTGTTTTTAGTTGATCTGTGCTTAGATTCCATTAAACTTGTCTGTCAACATTCAAGATTCTTCTACATACTGCTTATAAGGTCCTTACATGGTGTTTATACATTGTTTGCAGGTAAAGTGCCACAGTGTTATTTTTGCTACAGGAGCTGCTGCAAAAAGGCTCAGGTTACCTCGTGAAGATGAATTTTGGAGTCGAGGAATTAGTGCTTGTGCAATCTGTGATGGGGCATCACCACTTTTTAAAGGGCAAGTTCTTGCTGTTGTTGGTGGAGGTGATACAGCTACAGAGGAAGCACTGTATCTTACTAAATATGCCCGGCATGTACATTTACTTGTACGTAAGGACCAACTACGAGCATCCAAGGCCATGCAAGATAGGTGAGTCATGATGCATTTCCCACTTTTCATATATAGCTACTCTCTTACGCATCCTAAATCTTATGTGGTTGGTTTATGTTCTGCCCAAAAGGAAAACAAGTCAAAAGGTTTAAATCATTATGGTACTGGTAAAATTAAACTATGTGTTTTTTTGACACATTATTTTTGTATTTACATGTATGGATTCCTATTATTGATTATTGCTTCCAATCATTGAACTGTTTCCAGTTTCTGCTAGATTACATTTTCCTACTCCATTTAATCTCTTTGGATTCAGTTTGTTTGTTTCTCAACAATATATAGCATGCCATGTGGCTTGAATTCTTTCTATATTACTAATTTTATATGCAATGGAATACAGTAGAGATGTATAAAAGAACTTACAGCTTGAAAGCTGCCCATATAACAAAGTGTTAGTTGTAAATGATTTTCCTTGCAACATTGGTGAATTTGATAAACACTAGTTCATAAAGTGGTAGGAATTATTAAGAATTAGCTCAGATAGACCACTAGAATAAGAATCATATTGAGGTTGATATAGGAATGGAGGCAAGGAAAGAAACTGTGGAAGAAGAAATCGATTTCTTCATATTCTTGTACCAATTGCAATTTTATTATTTCTTCAGCTTTTTCAAATTTATTTTCTTGTTTGTTATTATCATAAGAATAGGTCTAGTTGTCTTGGATGTGTTCTCCAATGTGCATAGTGTTTTTTTCTTGAGTTTCATTCAACACCTGGTTTGAAAAAACATTTATTATTAAAACAAACCAAGAAAACATGTTCTTGGTTGTGTGTTCTCCTAATCCTCCTGATGGAAGATGCCTTTTTTTGGATTTATATTCTTAAGAAGTTACTATGATCATTTACAAGGTAGAGAAGTTACTACATCATCTGATGCAGGACCAAAGAATCTAAAACAAAATGGCCATTACCCAATGTTGGTTCCAGCTATCTGGGGAGGGAGTGGACTAGATATAGTCCGGACCTTTGGCATTTTTTGCACAAAGTGGTCATGGTAGGGCATTTTGGTCATTTTACATGTTTTCCTGGGCTCCAGTCCAGTCTTGTATTGCTTTGTCTAATCATTGTTCAGTTGTGTTCAGAATTCCATAATTCATAATCATAGGATGAATATTTTATATTTAGTAAGTATTGTTGGAGTGATTGAAAGTAGTAGTTGGTTTTACATGAAAGGAGTTTATAGACTGCTGCCAGTGAGTAACCAAATTCAATCTTGATAGGTGTTCTTTAGGAAACCCCAGATCTTCAGGTAGTGGTGGAGTTTTTAAATATCACTGAAGGACTGTTATTTTGAGTTTTTCTGGTCCAGTGGGAGAAGGCAGTTTCTCAAGGTTAGTACCATATCCAGTCCACCCCTCTCCAGACCCAAGATAGCTGGGACCAATATTGGGTAATGGCTTTTCGGAATTCAACCCAATTTCAGCTTCAGCCATTAAGGATCTCATAACTTCCTCAACAATTAATTTACTAAAAGACAAAACAGTAAGCCATTTAGTTTAGCCACTTTAACTGTTGTTAAATGACTCCCCAGATTCCCTTCTAATCCTAATCATACCACTCCATTAGACTCAGTCCATCCCTAAAACTAAAATCCATTAACAAACCTTAGAAACACTTACTCCTTTAATTAATCTATCCTCTCTGAGAGCAGTCCTATATTGATTTGATACTGAAGTACTTATAAAAAAAATAAAAAAAGTACCTGTTGAACAAAATTTCTGAGCTATCCTACCATTCTCTCTGTTTGGTTACCTTTTGTATATGGTCATTTATCTTTGACCTTATAATTCTTCTTATATTTTAATCCCTCTTTTCTATTTTTGCCTGGTAACTGATCATAATTTATTAATAGATGTATTAGAAGTAAAATACAGAAAAGTATATAAGCTTTACTTATCTCAATTATAAGAGGGAATTTTTGGTCCCTCTTATAATTGGTTATTAAGAAAATAGCAATTTGCCCTGCCATATTTGCATTGTAGTTATAGGCAAATGGACTCATAATCACTCAACTATTGCCCAAATTCTTTTAAAGTTGCAGTCATAGGGTTGCTGTATTTACAAGCAATGTTTTGTAAATAGCCATAAATAAAGTGGTGTAACTATTTGTTCCTTTCTCTTCTCCCTTGTTTAAGCCCATGTGCTATGGTGCATATGATCTGGCCCTTGGCTGCAATTGAAGATTCTGAAGTATTTTACCTTTACTATACTTGGTCATGAAACATTTTTGCATTTAATAACTGACTGGTGTTAAACCTTGCTTGTGGATCATGTGTTTGTCTTGAATGATTGATAGTTCATTTATTCCTGGAAGGATACCGACTTTCTAAGCGCGTTAGTTGCTAATGAAAATCTGTATGGTAGATTTTCAACTCCCTGAATGTTTGTTTAACAGGTTGATTATGGCGAATGTTTCAGAGTTTTCAACAATCCAAATATTACCTTGCACTTCAATACAGAGGCTGTGGATGTTGTTAGCAATAGCAAAGGCCAGATGTCTGGCATTTTGCTCAGAAAGGTTGATACAGGGGACGAGTTGGTCCTTGAGGCAAGGGGTTTGTTCTATGGTATAGGTCATACTCCAAATAGCCAGTTGCTGGAAGGCCAAGTTGAACTTGATGGTGCAGGCTATGTGTTGGTCAAGGAGGGCACTGCAAAAACATCTGTTGAAGGTGTCTTTGCTGCTGGAGATGTGCAGGTAATCCTATTACCAAATTATTCTTTCTCAATTCCTATACTTTGTTTCTCTCATCATATATCTTTAGGAGGCTAGTTTATGGTACAGTCACCTTTTTACTTTGGCTTAGAATCCTATCTGCATAAGTGGTTCAACCATGGGGCCATATCCTTTGGTGGTAGGGAATATCTATCCAATTAGACACTCTTGGTCATCTGATTCACAAAATCTATATCTTATTACTGTTATTATTGAGGTTATTTTATTGTTTTTCACCCTTCCAACTGTGGTGCTCAATGCTTCTACCATTTTCTGGGTTACCCCATTTGGGTAGAAGTGGCCATTACTTGGTGTAATGGTAAAATCTCTGGCTGCCAAACATGAGAATGCAGATTCGAGTATGAGAGTGGCCACTGTATAAAAGAATGCTAAAAGTTACGATTGTACCGATTCCATCGCTTCTAAGACCCCAGATAGCTGGGGCCAACATTGAGAATTGGCCTTTACCATAATAATTCAGGTTAGTGCATAGTTGGGAATGAGTTTACAATGTATTGCAGGCAAGTATGCCTTTACAGTGCTAGGGAGCAAAATTTATTTGTTTCTTATGATCTTATCCATAGAAAACTAGTTATATATTAGTTAATTGAACGTGAATATACACAAATAGACCCCCAAGACCCACAAAATTAAACAACCCTATACAAAATGGCTCAAAACAAGAAAAACCCAGAGGCATGAATAAAACCAAAGCAAAATTGCAACATGAAAGCCCCCTCCCCAGCCCCCAAAATAAATGAATAACACAGGTAGGACACCCCAAATATAAGCAAACAAAAGTCTAAGCCATCTTTCAGCAACCCTTACCACAGATTAGTATAATCCATTTCAACTTACTAAAGGGGATACCCAACTTTCAGCAACGAGCAACCTTTACGACAAATTAGTATAATACAAAAACACTCTCAGCAACATTTGAATGTTACTTTCAAATGGGTGAGAAGAACATCAAATGGGATGGCAGATACTCTAGCTAAACAAGGGGCTAGGAGACCCCAATTGTTTTGGGCTGAACTGTAAACTGTAATTTGGAAAAGAACACTCTCACCCTGTTGTAATTTTCTGTTCTAACTCTAATAAAATATTATCTCATTGATAAAAAAAGCACCCTGAAAGTGCTTGTAGATTCTCTTTCATGGTAACCATACTTGCATTGTCTCCAATAAGAATAACCAATGTAATCATAATAGATGGGGAGGTTTCTTACATAAATCACAATCTATCCTTTAATCTGGATTTCTTGTATTTTTTTAGTGAATTAGTAACCATCTCAGACATCCAGTTTCATTTCTGTGGATAGGATCATGAATGGAGGCAAGCAATAACAGCGGCTGGATCGGGTTGTGTTGCTGCTTTATCTGTTGAGAGATATCTTGCAAGCAATGATCTCCTTGTCGAGTTTCACCAGGTACTTGAGTCCTGTATATTGCTATTTTGTTCATAGCCCTTATTCAGTGTTCTGTGCTACTTTTTTTTTTCCTTTTTAGACATTTTTTCTTGAAATTTATTTTTAGGTTCTTGGTTTTCTCAGATAAGTCCTAGTGTTTGAAGCATTCTCCAACTGGCTGTCACTCTCAAACACAGCCATACTAACATGTCATGCTATCAACCTCAAATAAAGATACTTGAGTTCTGTATATTGCTATTTTGTTCATAGCCCTTATTCAGTGTTCTTTGCTACTTTTTTTTTTTTTATCTCTTTTAGATAATTTTTCTTGAAATTTATTTTTAGGTTCTTGGTTCTCTCAGATAAGTTCTAGTGTTTGAAGCATTCTCCAACTGGCTGTCACTCTCAAGAGCAAGATCTTCATTGTAGTGTTTGACAAAAATACCATATAGACAAGATATCAGAATCTCTTTGGACCTTTAGGGTTGTTACTTTAGGAGTCATTAGGGGAAGGAATTCTGTATCAGAATCTTGTTGGACCTTTAGGATTGTTACTATAACAGTCATTAGGGCAAGGAATTCTGTGCCGGAGCACTTTTTAAAGTTTAACGTTTCAAAGAATTCATGAAGAAATTTAACCCAACAAAGCAACGTTTCATGGACCTATAACCATGTAAGAATTCTTCTAAGAAACAATAATTCTCTTTTTAAAGTTATTTCATCCTTAAGGATCATTTTTCCAAATCAGATCCATGCTCCAAGTTTTTCATACTTCACTCTTGATCTTTGTTGCAAATTTGTCTATTTCCTAAACCACAAATGGAGGTACTTCCTAAAAGCATCCCTCCCGAACCTCACATCTTAAGTTAAAACATTCTCATGCTCTTTCTTATAAGGATGATTGACCTCTTGAGAGGTTTGAGTGATGTTCTGGTGAACATCTCTCTGAAAGTGGAAAAGATAGCTACCTGCTTCTACTTTTAGAAGTAGATAAGCATTTTTCTCTCGTGTATAAAATAGGAATAGTAAAGACACTTAAAAGTAAGAGGTTTTCTTTTGCTTTAAGAAATTTGAAAATGTTCTACCAAATGTACTTCTGATCTTTTCTATTCTGAAGTAGAAAAAAACTTCCTGAATCCTGTCTAAATTTTCCCTTGTATCTCTTGATGATGAAGCTCGAAAACCAAATTGGATGTCTAATTTCAAATACTGAAGGATCATGGTTCAGGGTTTAACTATAGAGATTTGGATCTGCACATTTTGCATCTCTGTATTTATCATTTGCCTTTTTCCAAAGGCTTTTGCTAAGGTCCTTGTATGGTACATTTATCAAAAAAAGGTCCTTGTATGGTAGATAATATTTTTACTTCTTCCTTCTTACCATTTGATCATTTTAAAGAAATTCTTCCATTATCAATTATAATTATAATAATAATTTAATGAAGAAAAAGAGAAACATTATCAACATTTTTCTTAATAATTGGTTATAGCTCGAACTAGTACTGCTCCAATAAGAGAAAGGTCTGGATTCTATTCTATTATCTCATCTTTTTTTGTGTTAACATCATGCAAAGTACATATTTTAGTTTGAAAGAAACTTCTTATCCACTCTGTGATGTACTTCTATGCCTTTTTTAATGGATGTTTATAAAGTGTTTTCATTTCTTTCTTTATCTTTGGTAAAACAAAATGAAGTATGATGATTAAATTTTTCTATGACTGAAAGCTACATATTGAGATTGTTGAAAACATCAAAGTTTTAAGAATACAATATTATTGCCAAGAAGGCCAAAATTTACACAATCATTATTTTTACTTTTTTGTTGACAGCCACACACTGAAGAGGTTAAGAAGGAGCTCACAGAAAGGGACATACATGAGGGTTTTGACATTGCACTCACAAAGCACCGGGGCCAGGTATGGTTTTCTTCAGCAAATGTTAAAAAGTCTGAAACAGCTAGAATGTTATGCATCCAGAACTATGCAAAATGTATTCTGGTAGGTTGCTCCTAAATCCTGGAAGCGAAAATAGGAGGAACAAAGTAGTAGTTTGACTATATTTCAGTCAGGAGCAATTGCAGAATTTTGGCCTGGTGGGAGCATTTATCTTTGCACCCATTCATTGGGTCAATTTGATCTTCTGTATATGTATCCTGGGTCATAACGTTTTTTTTTTCTTTGACCAAGGTACCATCTTGGGTGTGTGTCACTAGGTCTAGAAGAGTTCATTGCCGTTATTTTCTCTAAATTTGGTTCAGTTTTAATGGATCAAGGGCAGAGATATTTCTCTCTTGTATTTATAGTCCAATAGGAGATTTTCTTGTCCTTTAAGTTTTAGTAGATATTGGAGTTTTAGGTGTCACCAATACTTCTGTTATTCCTTTTTTTCAGACTTTGATTATTATACCAGAAGGTTAAATCTCACTTGCACATGCAAAGTTGCAAGCATCCTTAGAAACCACCGTTTTTTTTTGATAAATTCCTTAGAAATCACCCTTTATCCATCTCTATGACCATCTCTATCCCTACATGTCTAACACATAATTTTCCATTCTAGTAGAGTCCATCCCTCTTCCCTTGCTGAAAAGGCTTTCTATCCAAAGCTTGGGTCGTTACCCATTCCTTATTGAGTGAAGAGAAGTGAGGACTTTACCCTCATTCCTTCATCTTCCCTATCGGTTTCTTGATCTTGAAGAAACTATCTGTTTTTTGTTGAATTTTGTCTTAATCCATTTAATCAATTTTTTCCATATATTCCACTGATAATTCTAAGCTTGAGCTGTTCTTTTTGCAGTATGCTTTGCGGAAATTGTACCATGAAAGTCCAAGGCTTATATGTGTGCTATATACAGCACCAACATGTGGTCCATGTAGGACTTTAAAGCCCATTCTGGGAAAGGTATCATAGTTTTATCACTCGATTACTTCAGCATTACATGTTACTCAAGAATGTTTTGTTTAAATGCACATTTGCATGGTAAGATGATAGTGGTTACTTACATTTCAAGAATTATTAACATTATCTTTCATACATAATTTTGATGTTGGCTGGGAATACTGTTGCATGAAATAACTGTTGAACCAAATGATGCCACGAGTGGTTAGGGAGATACATCTAATTAAATGCAATTGTAAGGGAACATCTTTAGAGCTAGATATTGATAAAAATTTCTTTTCCAAAATTGATTTAACATGCTGCTTCTACTTTCTGATCCACAATGCAGTTTTGCAAAACATCTCACAAGTTATCAAGGACTCAAGTGAGGGGGGGGGGGGTCAGGGTAGCCTCTTTTTGCTTAAGTGCATGTTTAAGAAAATGAAAAGCTAATAGATCATGTATTTTTCCTATTAAAAAAATTGAAAAACTAATAGCTAAATAGAATTAAATGAATATTAAAAAGGAAACAAATCAGCAAATTAAACAATTAAATGGAAATTAAGGATTCTTCTTTTTTTTTTTCGAAATGTAGAAATTAAGCGTTCTTTTGTTTTTTCTCAATTCTATCAAAGTAAAAAATTTCAGTGCTGAACGGTAAAGAACAAACAATAATGTATGTGTAAGAAGATGAACTCATACACCGCTATGATAACACCACAGGTCAATTGCAACCATCTATCAAGAATTGACCGCGGTTGCCTTTTCTTCGTAAATTAACCATCTTTCCTTGTCATGAAGCATGAGTGAAGGCTGAACTGCGGTAAAAAAACTAAATCATAGGAGTTAGTTGATGAGAAAATAGAGATTATCACACATGTGCGTTCTGCTGAGTCGCTCCGCATATGGCATGTGGCAAGATCGTAAAAAAATGGTAGTTGTGGTCCGCATAGACTGATAGCTTCTCCCCACTCTACGATCCAACACCTGTCCCCATCAAATTGACTTAGGCACCTGAACGAGTTTCATGCATGCATGAGCTTCCCATTCTTTTCTATAAATGGGGATCCTTTGTCGAAAGAAGGGATCATTCTTTCCCTTCTGACCTTCTTGAAAGAAATTCTAATCCCTTTCCTGTTATTCCCATCTCCTCACTTCAGAGCCAGGACCCTTATCTCTATCGCCTTAAGGTATGAAGTGCTGAAACTAAATAAATTAATATAAAATTAAATAGTTAAATTACAAATGAGACAATTTTTTTTTTGTTAATGAAATCTAAGTGCTGAAACAACTTATCAATTCTCTTTGAAATGCACCACGCAGCTCTTTGCAAGTGAAATAAGCATAACTATGAGGAGAGTAAGAGATAGGGAATTGTGCATACAAGAGTGAAGAGAAGGGGAAAGAGGGGGGGGGGACTGTCTATGAGACATTGCATGAAATTCCTCTTAGAAATTAATAAAGCTATTGGTTTTGCTCATCTTTCCTTCCCATGATTTGATCAGTTGGCAAGAAATTGTGCCTACTAAGTGACTGATATGATATACAATCTGCATCCTTTATGAGTCATGCCTATCAATACCAATGAAAACATTATTTGTTCCCTCATGGCATTACAATAATTGCAAGGATTTTTTCTTTTTTCTTTTTTTTTTTGGGGGGGGGGGTAGGAACTTACAAGGATTGAGACATTGGTATCACACTCTGCTTTATCTTGTGGCAGGTAATAGATGAATTTGATCAGAATGTACATTTTGTTGAAATTGACATAGAGGAAGATCCAGAAATTGCAGAGGCAGCAGGAATTATGGGTACACCATGTGTTCAGTTTTTTAAAAACAAGGAAATGCTCAGGTACACCATGTGTGAACATGTGGAAATGCTATTTCTGCTGTTTTCCCCATTCTCTAAAATGATTCAATTAATTGCTTTATGTTTAACCATTTGATGGTGGTTATCTGGTAGCTTTCTCAATTGCTTTTTATAATTTTATTCACAATAAACTGTTCAGCATGACAACACCTTCTTTGTGGTCTTGATGGCCCTTAAGGTAGCATACGTTAAAAAAGGAAGTTTTGTTTATTTTGAGGGTGTGTTTGGTTTGCGTCTAGGATCAGAATCAGAACTGGAATTGGAATCACCTATTCCTGATGCCTGTTTGGTTCAGTTGGGAATCAGAATTGGATTTCGATTGTTAATGTTTGGTTCAACTAGAAGCCGGAATTGGGAAGAGGGAAGGAGCTGTCACTGTTAATACCACTGCCAGGTGCCAGGCTGCCAGAAGCGGTGACAATGATAGAGGGGAGGAAGAGGGAGAGAAAAAAGAGGGGGTGGAAGAAGAAGGGAAGAAAGAAGAAAGGAGAGGGGAGGAAGAAGCCACTGCTGCTAATACCTTCTGCAGTATGTGCAGAGGTGGCGGTGACAGAGGGGAGGAGGAAGAGGGAGAGAGAAGAGGGGGCAGAAGAAGAGAGGAGGGGAGAAAGAAAAGGAAGAATGGGAAGGTCTGTGACATGTTGAATGAAGGCTGGCTGGCAACCGGCCGGTTATCGACGTTGGATGAAGGCCTGTGAAAGTTCAGGCCTTTGGTTGAATAGGAAATGGAGGCTATTTTGTCAAAAAATTGCATTCCTGATGGGGGGGGGGGGAGTAAAATGGCCATTCCCTCATATGGGGGAATCCCATTCCGCCTATAGTGGAAATGGTATCCCATTCTGATCAACCAAACGGTTGGAATTGGGAATGGGCCCTTCCGATTCTGATTCAATGTGTTGATTCCTGCAAACCAAACACAAAAGGTATAGGATAGAGGTCCTGTATAATTCTTGGGAAGGTAAATAGACATTTGTAAAGCATATTACTGTTTTATGTGGATGTTTGGCTTGAAGTCTGAATATGCATGTTATAATTTCTTGGTGACCACCAACTGTTGCTTTACTGGATTTGCAGGACTGTATCAGGGGTAAAAATGAAGAAAGAATACAGAGAATTCATTGAGGCAAATAAATGAACGGAACTCATTTTCTGATTTTCTACTTGTGTCTAGTGCTCTTATTTTTCTCATCCGGTTTTGTTCCATCCAAGCATATGATTGGAATAAATCTGTATTCCTGTATTCTTGGGTGAACCCATTAAATTATATTAGTGAAGCTTACACTGTACATCACATTTCTTTAGTGCATGATTCCAAAAGCAGTTTTGAAATTCCAATCTTGATGTTGCATTCAGTTGATTTGTACATCTAAACCACACTAAAGAACTTTATTTTGTATTATTATTTCATGGTGCTAAGGGCCATTGGTTGGTGCAATGTTAAATATCGGGCTAATAAGCATGAGAACAGTGATTTCAATCCAAGAACAGACACGTTGTTAGGGTTGCAAGTTGGGTACCCGATTTGAAAAACTTGCACTGCATTGGGCCCCGGCTTTCAGGTTGGACCTATTCAAATTTTATCAAATTTCCAACCTGAGTCCGCACAGGTTGCGCAACCCAATACTTTGTTCAAGAAATAGCCAAAATACCAAATAGTTGGGACCAAGTTAGTGGGGGGAGACGGTCATCTCCCTTGTTGTTTTTAGATTTATCAAAGAGAAATTTACCACCTCTTTCCGCTTAGTATGCAAAAGGGTCATTGCTTGACGCAATCTTAAAATCTGGGGCTGACAAGTCGAGAGAAGGAAGGTTCAAATTTGCCATTTTGTAGAATAGATGCCAAAGGTCAAGGCCCTATCTAGGATCATTATCAACGTTAACGGCTTTCCGACTAGTACCTTGTCCTTTGGGTTTAGCGCCATTTTGGTCCTCAAAACTTGACAATTTAGTATCCAAATTTAAGGTTAAAAAAATTGGCACGTGTATCGGCTGATACATATTATTTCGGGAGCTTCTTGATACACCCCTACAGAAGGTGTATCGGGGTTTTGAACGGTTCAGGGGTGAATGGACCTTAAACCGGCCCCTCTGAACCGGATTTTAAAAAAAAAAAAAAACAACTGATACTACCCGATACACTGGTAAGGCGTATTGGGCGTATCGATATTTTTAACCTTGCCCAAACTTTTAAAACGTGTCAATTTAGTACCTACCGTTAACCAACCATTAAGTGACATATGAAAAGACACAAATGCCCTTCAGATGTCTTCTAATTTTCTTTATCAACCATAAGACAAGTGGCGGACAGCACAACCGTGCATGTCATTCTCTTTCATATTTGCATGACTTTTTTTTTTTTTACTATTTACGCATTAATCCTATTTATGACAGAATGTGCTCTGGTAATTAGGGGTGACATGGGCCGGGCCGGGTCAGGCTTTGCACTTATGATAAGGGTTATAGCTGAGGCCCGGGCCCGGCCAGGCCTGGGGTTCCGGGCCTGAATCATAAGCCCTAGCCCAGGTCTATACGGGGCCGGGCCGGGCCGGGCCTGATTCCTAGCCAATGTCACTCATATGTAAAACATTATATATCTATATATTAAATGACATAACATGCATATAAACTTATTTTATACATTATGTAATATAAAATATTACATATAATATAAATTATACATGTCATGTTATAATATTTATATATAAAATATATAATATAATGTAAAATAACATGTATAGATATGTATACATTATACACAAAATGTGCAAGTTTAAGTATATGCGGGCCGGGTTTGAAGTATTAAGCCCAAGCCCAGCCTTAAAATTTGCGGGCCTGATGTGGGCCCGGGCCCGGGCTGGGCCTGAACACAAAACTCAGGCCCAAGCCCGAAATTTCCGGGCTGGGTTTGTGCAGGCCAGGCCGGGCTGAAATGATCACCCCTACCGGTAATGCAGGAAACTCATTCCGTCGTTATATCCGATTTCATCGTCTCCCATCCATAGGTAAGTCTAGTTTTCTGAGCTCTTGCAATTTAGACCGAAAAAAGCCAACGAAATGACTGTGTCAAGACCGAGTTAATGCCCAATCCTCTGCAGGAGATGGTTCACTATAAACTGGTTCTTGCAATTTAGTACAATTCCCAATAGATTCTGGTATAATCCCTGATAATTGATTACTATAGAGCCACAGAGAAACAAGATCAGTCGTTTCCTACATTGGACGTGATAGATCAGTGAATTCATTACTGTAGAGATAAATTGTGTTTAAACGCGGAATCTGGAACAAAGACTCTGCTATCTCCCCACTCAAGGAATTATCAAACAGAGATAAAAATCTGAGCTTCCTCAAGTTTGCTAATTTCCCAAGCACATCACCGGTGAAACCATTCACCGATAGATCCAAATATCCAAGTAGACTACAATTGAACAACTCTGCCAGGATCAAACCCGAGAAATTGTTGGCATTAAGGTCAAGCATCTTGAGGGATCTCAGCTGGCCAATCTCCGGTCTCAATGAACCAGAGTTTTGCAAACCCGACAGGTTCAGGGAGATGACATTTTGTTTCAGACTTTCAGGCCATCACCTTGAATTCCATGGCAGCTACAAGGAGTGGAATCGTTTGAATTCCAGCTCAACTTGATTGAGGGAGGTATAACCAAGTCGTTCAATAGTGAAAGCAGAGCTTCTCCATCAAAGCTCAACCCAGCAGCAGTATGGAGCAAAGCAAAGTACAAGCACAAGCACAAGCACAGAAAATCTCTAAAAACACTACCCATTACATTTACAACAGAACAAATCAAAAGACTATATTTGGAGGGAATATGGCTATGCTCACCTTTTACCGAAGAACTCTTCCACAAGCACAAAACTTTGTTATCTCTTTCTTTTTGCTCTTTACCGAAAGAACTAACCCGTGACTCAACTTTCAAGTTTCAACATACTGAAACAGACTTCAAATACTTCGCAGGGTCAAGCCATTTCCTGGGTTATGTCGTCATCCCGAGCTTGTTAGTAGACGGACACCTAATGGCATGTGACAACAGTGTCAACATGGATACACATGAACAATGTCTTATCTCTGTGTAAGAAGATGATGAATAGTGTTTTAAAGGGTAATTTTGACACATTTTGAAAGTTCAGGCACAATTGTTGCATTTTAAAGTTTGGGAATTTTCCCTTATTCTTATTAGTCCCCTTTTGTAGTTATTTATAGACCTTAATAATCAACACTTGGTTTATATTTTCTGTAATTGATCAGCCTAAGCCTCTATCTACCACCCCACCATGAAACTCTACTTGTAATGCTTGAAGTTTGATATGGAGATAGCACGGTTAATTCAATTGCCCTAATTCTGAAGATCCCGGGCCTCCTTCCAAATTCAGAACCCATAAACTCTAACTTTGACACTAATTGAGATTTCGAAAACCCTAAAACATTTACCATATAACTCATACTTCATTTCTACCAATTGTCATGCGACATGCAAATATTCATTGTCATCAGTGTCTTTCTCATCCTCTAAGATTATTATTTTTAAGGATTTACTGTTACCTTAGCCAAGAGGGAATGAAACAGAGAAAAAGAGAAATATTCAGCTTTACTACCACTTTGGCTTGGAATTGTGAATTTTAAATACATGTTTAAAAGAAGAAATGGGCCATTGCTTCGTGTAATGATAAAATCTCAGACTGATATAAATGAAAAATATGGATTTGAGTATGAAAGTGGCCACTTTATGCAAAAATGCCAAATTAGATTCTTATCTACTCCACCTCTCCCAAGTCCCAATACCTTTGATAGCTGGGATCAACATTGGGTAATGACCTACATAAGAGATGAATAAGCGAATTTGCCCTAGGAAATTAGAGAAATTACAGAACATCAGCCATGCATTCCATACTTATCAGCAGCCATAGAACTTTGTTATGTGCAAGAATTACTACTTTAGGGGAGTGGAGAGCTGAGACCCTCTTGGTAAGATAATGGGAGAGAAGGCTGGTGCTGCTTCTTGACCATAGGTGGCTTCATTGTGAATGAAGGCCTCCTCTTAAGGAGTGCAATTGTTCTCTTGGCATAAAATGAGTGGAGCCATGGTAATACTCTCTCCTTGAACTTGAGTATGATGAAGAAGATCAGCCTGTAGGATATGAGAAGCACTACAATAGCAGCCAAGTCCCACCATTTGGAACGATTTGGTGAAATCCCATAAATCGTCTTGAGAATTTTAACTCCTGTGAGCTTTGGATCACCTTGTTCCATAGGATCAAACTTGAGCCCAATTAGATCATTCTTGAATTGGCCCTACATAATATGTTACCATATTTGATAAGTAATGTCATCAGTACGTATTTGAAAATGATTCTATGAGTTAAAGTGATTGATGCAGGAGGCATATATACAGGTTATATATTTCTGGTAAGATCATGCAGCTTGGTTATATCTGGCCTAGATAGAAAATCATCAAATAAACCAAACATTTCCCATGGTGGTTGTTTTGATATGAACTGAATACCGGAAAATCAGGATTAGATTGAAATAAACAGAGTATTATAGAATAATCTAACCATGGTCTATGGGAATTGGATTCCTGCAAATTAACATTTACCTGTAATGCCCATGAGCTGTAGCTGATATATGAAACCGGGTATCGCCAGAATGGTTTGGGAAGATCAGGTAGGGTACAGAAGAATCCAGAGCTCAGCATAATAATTACCTACATATGAAAATGACAGTGCTTGTGAAGGTGATGACAGAAAAGAATATACAGGTGTTTCTGGAAGTAGTTTCCTTACAATAATTCCAATCCCAACTATGACACCCATCAAGTAGTTGGGAACCAGTGATGCAACAATCATCATGCAGCCTTCTACCACAGAAATGCAGCTCAAAAGATTAAGCCAGGTGAATAGAAGGTGAGAGAACCCAGAGTGAAACTTCACCATGAATGAGATTATTGTTCCAGTAGTAGTAGACACTCCCAGCAAGAAAGGGAATGAGGAGAGAAAGTTAGATAGGATGTATACAGCACTGCCATAGTGACCATTTAGCCTCTCACGATAAAAGACCTGTTGAGTAAGAAAATGAGACATTGAGAAAGCTTAATAGAACCAGCTTGATGTTTTTTTTTTCTCTTTTTCAACAATTCGATCTTGATGGAACTAAAATTCATAATTACTTGCCCTTATTTCTTCAAGGAAGGATGGGAAGCCTCCTATGGACATGAATGTCATGAAGCCTGTTAAGAATGCAGCACTAGCTCCTCTGTCCCTGACTGTGTTATAGCTGGTTCCAACATCAAAATAAATGGTGCCAACACATAATGATACTACTAGGTAGACCATAATCCTTAACCAGTAATACCCAATATCCCTGCACATGTTCACGAAAGACCTCTTAGTCAATGTGCAGAGCTGTTTCCACCAGCTAGCCTCGCTTCCCTTGTTTGATTTAGGGATGGGTCCTTCCTGCATTGACATTTATTTGTTATTAAGCAGCGATAATTCATTCTTGGAAACTCTCCTGATCATATTTTAACACATCTCAATTGGCAACCAAGTTTTGAAGTTTAGTACTCTCACTCACTCTGTGTGTGTGTGTGTGTGTGTGTTTGTAAGAAATCCCGAGTGGTGTGTGTGAGGGTAGGTGGGGGGACAAATGTGTTAAGTGTTGCTTGAGTTCTAAGTGTTTACAATGAGTAAAAGCTCCCTAATCCGTCTTCTTGTACTTGTTGCATATTTTGATGTCTTGTATTTTGCAGCAAGGATTTCTTTGATCCTTGAACTTGCTTCATTCATTAGAAGATCTGATGATGCCTGTGCTTCCTGTGACAAAAAATAAACATTCGCCTGTAAACAAATTAAGCTAATGAAATAACCCATAAAAAAAAAGTTAGTGAAATAAGTGCTGAAAATAAGTTTTGAAAATCACCCCAACGACAAGGGAGATGTTTTTGGGTAGAATATATAGGAGGGAGATTCCGACATTGGAAATGACAGACATTAAAGATTGTTTTCACATACATTAAGTCTCGGACATTCCCTCAGAGCGGCAGTTACAACATCGAAATCTGTGTTAATACAACGAAGGAAATGATCGGAAGGATTCCTTCTAGTGGGACAAGGGAAACCAGACTCAGCAAAGAACTGTATCAAGAAATATCGATGAAATTAGATTGCTATTGGATTAACATCGTCGTCGAGTGAAATTTGCAGGATTGTTGCATTCTTCTTAATTACCTCTGCAGCCATCCTTGCCTCTCCAAAATAAATAGCTTCTCCATCCGAGAGGAGAAACAGATCGTCAAACAGTTGAAAAACTTCACTACTTGGTTGGTGTATCACCGAGATAATAGTCTTTCCATCCCGAGAAATGCTTCGTATAGTCAGCATCACTAAGAAAGCCGATGCACTATCGAGTCCACTGGTCGGTTCATCAAGAAACAAGAGAGAAGGGCTTGTGAGGATCTCAAGTGCAATGCTCAGTCTCCTCTTCTCTCCACCGCTGATACCCCTCAGATGCCAGTTACCAATCACTTTGTCGCCACAATCTTCAAGACCCATTTGCAGGATCGTGCTTTCGATCACCCCATTAATCTCTTCTTTGCTCAAAGTAGCAGGAAGCCTCAGGTGAGCTGAGTATGTGATTGTTTCTCTGACTGTGAGGGTTCCCAATAAAACATCCTCTTGGGTCACATAAGCCTGAGAAAGTGAAACATACAAACACAGAGACATGCACAACTGTAAGAAGAGCATATCTATGGCTGCTACAAGCCAAAAAAAAAAGTCTATGGTTACATTTGGATGTTACAAAGTTGCTGTACTCACTACGTCTCCACAGTCTAGTCTCCTCTTCTTGCCATTGAAGAAAATATTCCCAGTCACAATAGCGTTTCTGCAAAGTCTCCCTGTTGAAAGTGCAATTTTTAGTTTCACTGAAAGAAAAATTAGATGAAGATACCAGCTTCTAACTTTTTGTTGTCTTCTTTTGGGTGCCATTAGGAGACACCCTAATTCCCTGTCAGGTGAGAATGAAAAGTTGAAAACAGGTTTAGAAAAAATGAAATAAAATAAAATGAATATTTGAGAATATAATATATATATATATATATATATATATATATATATGCTGAATTATATATAAAATTTAAAAATTGTATCTAAATGATGGTAATTTATCAATCTCAAAATATATGTTTTGAAGACAAAACTAGTATATCTTATTTTTAAGGCATTTGGTAAAATATCCATCTTTGTATTGATTCCATATCTTTCTTTAATAAACCTCTATATGGTTTTGTGGTCAAATGGGGTTTAAGGTAAATTCGAGTGATGGTATGGGGAGGTATATATAAATAATTTACCCTAATTTAATTGAACCGGGTGAGCCCAAAATTCATTGAAATAATCCGTTGGCTGAGCATTTCTAGTGAACTATATATATGGTGTTACTTGATTCAACGAGACAGTTAATATTTTGACTTCCAATTCTATTAGCATTACAGGCTTAAACCGACTTAGAAAGGCATTCCTATAATTTTTCTCAAGTTGCTTTTAATTTCAAGATGGTTTGACTGTTGTCTCATTTTTATAAGGGTAATTTGCTGAAAACTCTCCTGAAGTTTAGTAATTGCAATTGTCTCCTTTGAACTTTGCAGATGCAATTTGCAAGTAGAACTCCTTTGTTAGAATCCTTTAACAAGAAATACAAAAATGTCTAAAATCCATGCAATTACTATTGAGCTGGTTACTATGGAAAATCAATACAAACTTTATGAACAAAAACAACACACACATAGAGGAGAGAGAGAGAAAGAGAATGTTTAAAGTTGTAGCTTTACCTTTGAGTGATTGATATGAAGGGCAAATTTGAAAAATAAATCAATTTCAGAAAAGAGATTGGAAGGGTTTAGGGTAACAATTGATATGAAGATGAAATTTAGAAAATAAACATTTTGGTCAAAAGTAACTGCATGGGTATTTTGGACATTTTCATGCCTCTTGTTAGAAGATTTTAATAGTGGGTCTACTTGAAATTGTATTAGGAAGTTCATGAGAGGTGATTGCAATTACCAAACTTCTTAGGAGGTTTTAGCAATGGTCAGAAACTTCAGAGGCAGTTTCAGCAATTTACCCTTTTATAAAATGCTTGATAATAATCCTTCTATATGTGTATGCTGATAGGGGGACCTAGGGGTGGCCACGAGCTGAGCCTTTCACTCGTCTTGTGAAAAGCTTAGCTCGTCTTGGTTTAAACCGAACTTTGAGCCGAATTCAAGTCTAATATATCAAGCCCAATGAAGCTTGGCTCATGAGGCTTGCAAGCCTAATATTAAATAAATAATTTTTATTATACATACATACATACATACATACATACATACATACACACATACATACATACATAAATACATACATACACACATACATACATACACACATACATACATACATACACACATACA